TCCCCGGTGTTTTTCTCTTTTTTGGGCCGTTTTTTTTCTAATTTTTAAAATTTTTTGGGGGGGGGGGGGGGGAAACAGTCCTTGGGCTTTTTGGATGTTTGTCAAGGTTTAGCTGCTGTTTACGCCAATTTACGTCCAGTACCATGAAATTTTCTGATGTAGTTTTATTTTGATTGGACAACTTAACTCTGACCTGTAGACACTTTATAGATGACTTTGCAAAGTTCCAGTTTTAAGTTGGATCTTTATGCACTTTGCTACTGGCAACATGCTGCATTGTTATAGTGTATTTACTTAAATCCATTTAAAAAAAATACCAACAATAGCTAGGTTTCAATCCAATTGTCATGCAAATTTTTAGCAAACTTTTAAAATGACAAAAAATAAAATAAAATGTAAATCAGGTGAGTTTCCATTCACTGGTTTCGACCAGGTTACGCACAGTTGCAAAATTGTGGATGTTTTTTAGAATTTTGCCATTTCCTTCAACCTTTTCTAATGCAATACTTCAAATTGAGCATAAAAACCGATGATTCAAGCACACGTCACACAATACCTTGAATTCTACAAGCCCAGTGTGTAACCAAAGCATTTCAATGTGTTTTTGTTCACCTGTCCAGACGTGTGAGCAGAGACATGTGAGTCACTTCCAGTACCTCAGCTGGCCAGACTACGGCGTGCCTACGTCAGCGGTGACTCTCATCGACTTCCTGGGAGCTGTGAAGAGGCAACAAAGGAAAATGGTGAAGGCTTTGGGGCCTCAGTGGACCGGCCACTCACTGGGACCGCCGATGGTGGTCCACTGCAGTGCAGGGATTGGGAGAACAGGTAAGACCAGAAGACTGCGGGGGTGGGGGGTTTTCTCACAATGTCACATTATTGTGCTTTCAGACATATTGATAAGGTTGTGATCCGAAATTATTTTAGCTGCAGTCACCCTTTATTTTATCACGCCATGTGTAGTGACAGATCAAAAACACATCCTGCATGGTTTAAACGTGAGGAAGATGAAGTAAATTTTGCAACATTACATCCTTTCACATTTTGAAGTGTTGCAAAATCTTCCAATCAAAAGTACCTACAGATGGAATCTTTTTTGTTTTTTCAAATACAACATATCATGCAATATAGTAAACTAATGATGTGATAAAATAATGAGTCTGTATTTTGTATGACGAGATCAAAAATTTGAATGTAGTTTTGCATGTTTCCTTTATTAGAGAAGTTTCTACTGTGGAAATATTTTGGTGGCGTTTTTCATCTTTCTAGCCTAAGTTTTGGTCTGTTCTTACCAACAAAAATGAAGTTTAGGTTAATCTCTTTTAAGAAGAGTTTGTCACCATTACCCAAATTTATTGCGTCTGCACTTCCATTACAAATGTTTGCAAAACTTTGTCAATATTTTGCTAATGTAAAAAAAAAAAAAGAAAAGAAAAACCACAATTTTACATTTGTGGTGTTTGTTTATGCGATAAGTCACTTAATCACAATGCATGCCATCATCCTCCTACCACTTCCTGTTGTCTTCTTCGTCTTTTCCGCCAGTATTAACATCTACCTGTTGCTCATGTGACTTGTGGAAATGCAAAAAAAGGCATTTCTGTTGCAGTTTTGCAAAGTACACCAAAAATAGCACATGCTAGCGCAAAAAAATAAAAAATAAAACACACACACATATCGGAAAATGAGAGGTTTTTCTTCAAAAGTGCTGTGCTTCCATTCCAATTTGCGCAATCTTATGGTCAGTCAAATTTTGTACGACGTAGTGTTAATTGCATGGGAAGGCAATGCTGAAGTGGTGTTTCCCTAAAGCTGCGTCTTTCCGCAGCTCTGAAACACAACACAAATCTAGTGGGACGGGACTTTTAAGTGGTCGGAGCAATACAAATGTAAAAGCTGGAACAATTTCAAGACGTTTGATATGGGCACGAGTCTGACTTGTCCCTGTTCTCGGCAGGTACCTTCTGCGCCCTGGACATCTGTCTGTCCCAGCTCCAGGACGTGGGCTCCCTCAACGTGTTTCAGACGGTGCGTCGCATGAGAACGCAGCGGGCCTTCAGCATTCAGACACCGGAGCAGTACTACTTCTGCTACAACGCTATATTGGAACATGCCCAGAGACAGGGCCTGCTCCCGTCTAATCAGTAAGGCCCCCGAACGACGACAAGGACGAGCCACGACTTTTCTGCTGTCAGCCTGCTGATCCCGCAGCCAGGCTGGGTGATCGGCCGACCAGAGGAAGTAAAGTCAACTCCCGACCGAAGACAAGCTTTCTGACACGTCGCCATAAGCCGCTGGCAAACCAAGTAAACGCATTAAAGATTAAAAGCTTTGATTGCTGATGATGTGTGATGATACTGTGGCTGTCAACAATGTGATGTTTTAAAAGGTTTGTTGAAAACATGCAGAATGATGCAGCAGAGTGAGCGGACCGATAAGCTTTGGAGGTAATACAACATCTTGGAAAGGTTTCCGTACTCTTCGATCGTTTCTCGTTTTGTCACTTGTCCCGTCTTCAGTGCGTTTGGCATTTCAGTTGATAGACCAACACAAACTAGTGAAAGGAAACTTGTACATGATTTTCAACTTTGTTCTAAAAAGAAGAGTCAGTGCTTTGTAGGACCAGTTCCCGTCGCATTTAGAGACGCAAGTCTGTATGGCTACGCCCAATGATCTCCAAAAAACGTCTGAGATCTTCACAAAACACCTGAGATTCAATTACCCACAATTGGACTCAGTTCAGAGCTGTGATCTCTGAAGACAATTTTATTTAAAGGGGGTTAATCAATGACTTTTATTAGAGCCAGTCAACCAGATTACAATTAATACATAATTCTTATTGAACATACGCACCTATTGACACACTTAATATAATAATGACAAAATAGTGCATCAAAAAGCCATACAATGCACAAGTTTGTATTTTCTTCAGCAATAGGGGAAAAAACATTTAAATAAAACTAAGAGCAAAACCAAGTCAACACAAAAAAACCCTCCAGATATATGCACCCATGTTTTGTTTTGTTGTTTTTCTACTAAACATATTTACAAAGAAAATTTTAAATTTAGATTTCATTTCCATTTTGCAATTGCTACTTTTTGTTGGTCCATTTTGCAAAATCCAAATAACATCCGTTGTCAGAAATAATAAAATCTTCCAAGGGTATTAATTATTTTTGCAACACACTGTGAGGCCTCACTTCATCTAATTACTAATAAAAAAATAATGTTCACTTCACTGTTAAGGACCTTGAAGGGTTAATTCACCTCAGAAAAAGTGTCTGCTGCTCCCTTAAACTGTTAAGCATCATGACACGACCTTACAATCCTGCTCGAGCCTTTCCTCTTAGCGCTGCTTAACTATCGATTGTGTAGTTCAACATCCAATTAAAATTCCTTTAGTCCAAGGTAGTTTCGTATTGCTGAAATGTACAGGCATTTTCGGGGTGAAATATTCCTTTAAACCAGTCCGATTTTAACCTTTTCTTGTTTTTTTTTTTGTTTTTTTTGCCGCCCCTCTCGGTGTCTCATTAAGGAAAACATTCAGCACAATGCGTCTTTAACCCACAGTGAATGTCACACGGAGTTGTCAATGTTCCAGTGGAGGTCAGGCCACAAATTCGCTGCCAAGCGCCACATTTATCGTAAAGTGCACACCGTCGTTCGAAGTGAACAGAGCAAAAGCACATCCATCGTTTGAAAAGCTGACGACTCCCCAAATGGCTGCTACATATTTTGACTGAATGCTCCTGAAGTTTCAATCCACTCGGACCTCTTTTTAGTTTTCTTTTCTACAATATTAGAGTGGTAAAAAAAAACCCCCACAAGCTTCCACCTCACCTAATATATTAAGAGCTTTTTGCTGCCTTAGCTGTGTTAGCGTCGTACTGCACAGACATCTGTTTTAAGGCGGTGCCTGTCACAGAAGGGTAAATCGGTGTAAGACCTCACAAGTAGTGCAATACCTTTTTTATGCATAAATTGTGTCTTAGCACTTTTTACAAAATTTTAAAAAATAAATAAAAAATAAAATCCCAATGTGTTCTGGCGTTTCAGCGTGGCATTGAGAGGACAAATTTAACGTTAGATGACTGTATAAGTCTAAGTGTGATGCTGGGATTCGTTGATTGTTATATATTTAGTGATGCTGTAGCTGTAAAACACGGAGATATTTACTGTTATCATCTGCGTAGAGCTTTATTGGGACTAATGAGACGGACCGGACAGCAACGACGACGTAAGTAAGCACAAAAGTGTGCCGACCGCAGCCTACAAGTCCTCCTCGGACACTCGAGAATCAAGAATAGTCTAGTGCTTTCGTCGTGTCCCAGTATATTGCCATTGTTGTTATTATTATTATTATTATAGTACATGTACAAAAGTTGTGTTTTTGTGTGTGTGTGTGTGTGTGTGGGTGTGTGTTGTTTGTCTTACGTTCTTTACTCCAGAGTTCATATTGAATTTGCTGGTAGTGAAGCATTTTTTTTAAAAGCCTGAAATTTCCACCTACTCTGATCTTTAGAATTAGTTCTTCTTGCAATGACGGACACGAGATGTGCCGCTTTATTTTTCTATTATATTCAGCTACTGTTTTCATACAAATATGCAATTACCATTAATTTTGTATTTGTTCTGTTATAACATTATGTTTTCACTTTGTATTGTATTTCATTGTGCATTGATTCATGCTATACTGTAATAAACACAAACTATGTCAGCGTGGTTGTCAATGGTGCGCTATGTCTTTTGGTTTAACTGATTCATGTTATTCCTTTTAAGGTACACTTAAGGTACATTTGATTTTTTTTTTTTTTGTAGGAATCCACCAATAAATCATCCCCGATTTCCTTAATATTGGGAAATTGATGATTGGACAATAATTACATGAGAAACCAATCTTATCCACCGATCTTGTCTACCTAAACAAAGGTCTGAAAAATGGCCACTGTCTCCTTTTGCTCTGCCGGGAGAGAGAGCTGATTGACCAGGTTACGTCTGCATGTGTGCAGCTAACAATAGTCTTCCCACTAATTTTGAGGGGGGCCATGGAACCAACCAGATTATGAATGAGCATAAACCAACTCAAGAAAATCTCATTATCATGAAAACAATATCATTTGTGCCATATAATCCTCTGAATCTAACCACAGTTCTTTACTTATCCCTTCAGTTGATGGCTCAGTCTCTAAAAGCCCTACTTTGCTCCTAAAAATACTCTCGGGTTTCCTGAAAAGTGCTGCTGCACCCCTCAGCTGTTGAGTTTAGAAAGAAGGTGTGGCAAACCACAAAAACGAAGACGAACGCTGCGGAAACGAACTGAAGGATAGTCCTGGTAAAACACCGCGGCACTGAGGTGAGATGCATTCTTTCTATGCTGTGATTTTGTGGTAGAGGCTGTGGTCCTCTGGTACCTCTGCTGGTACTTTATCTATGGAGTATGGTCAAGAGGAAGATGAAAGACACCAGAACCAAAAATGCAGAGGAGCTGAAGGACAGTCTGGTGATAAAACTGAAGGGGCTGGAAAAAAAAAAAAAAAAAAAACATCACAGTTGTAGGAAACCTGAGAACACCATGCTTGCAGTAAAATATGAGGGTGACAGCATCACAGTTCGGGGTGTTTTTGCTGCATGATGAGAAAGGGACTTCACATGGATATATTGATGCAAAATCTAAAGATGTCAACCAGAAAGAAACTCTGGGTGTAAAGAGGTTTTCTAAATGGGCAATGACCCTAAGCATAGAACCATATTAGTTGGGAAGCATCTTAAAGACAGCTAAGTCAAACATAAGATAACAAAGCAATCCTGAAACCTTTATCCAAGCACCAAAAATAAAATTGTGGCCAGAGCTAAAGGTTTATGGATGCGCAAGGGTGGCCTACCTACCTGCCACAAGAAACATCCAGAAAATCATTCTAGTTATAAAAGGTACCCACAATATTTGACAAACAAAACGGCATATAAGGGAATAGAGAAAATTAAAGAGAGTCGCAAAAATATACGTAAAGAAACAGCAATTTCAGTTTTAGTTCTGCTAATGTGTGATAAGGGAATGTTTTGTCTGATTTAATGTCATTAAGGAAAGAAGGCCTTTGTGCATAAATATCTGGTTTCAACCAGTCCCCAAAAGTTGGTATCCACCATTTGCTTTGCATAGGAGTGCCATGCCTCAGGGGGCGCCAAAACTATGGCGGAAAAATTATTCCAAGTATGCATTTCCTGAATTAAACAGCTGTTGATGCATGGAGGGGTGAGCCTATGATGTGTCTGCATACACCTAGGAAAGTACTTAGCCGCCCTCGCCCCTGGGTTTTCAGTTGTACATTTTCGGAGATTGGTCTTGTAATGACATTTGGATTGAAATGTCGCTATTTAAACAAACTGAACTGCGGTCTATTGTTATTCATGTATAATACTAGACTAGATGTTTGTCCGTCACATATTTTAAGCTGTAATTAATCTCTTAACAGATGGCCTGGTGAAGGTGAGGTGAAAACAAAGAGCCGACATCATCCACTGTGTCTCAGATTACAGTGGACGGTGTCGGTGCCTCGCTTTTAGCGGGCGATATTCAAAACAAAGTGACGCGTCTCGCGCTACGCGCCAATGCCAGCAGAGGGGGGCGTCTCCAACTATTCTGTTACAAACACAATTCCGGAGTAAAGGAGCCTTTTTCCTGGGTATGTAACAGCTGTTTAAACTTAACGCTATTAAAACTAGCAATGCTCGAACCGCTGAGCGACGACGAACGAGAATCCGAAAGCTGTTATTTGTCGCGAGGCGCCTCTTTTGTTGCTCGTAAATGAATTGTATCGCGCGGCTTTTATCTGTTCTAGAAGGCTCGGAAAACATAACGTGATAGAGAGCGGGGGTAAATCTGCAGCATTATGTCGGCTGGTAAACAATCTCCAGAGGTGGGATTGGGGTGGCGGGGTGTACGGTGACCGTCCGAGGCGTCCCCCTGTCTGCAGCGTTTGTGAGCGGACGGATCGCTTCCGAATGGATCGGTGTAGGTGGGGAGGGGTGGGGGAGACGGAGGAGGAGAAGGGAGGGAGTTGTTGTGGTGAGGCAGCTTAGACATTTTAACCCCGGCGAATCGCGGTAAACAAAGAATATAACGCGTCGGTCCTCCCCCTGCGGGACAGAGGAACGGGGTTTGCTCATGTCGCGCGACGGGGGGAATGGCGGGTCTTCGTCGCGCGCCGTTGTGTCCGTGCGGCGGCGGCGACGGCGCAGCAGTTCCCGTTCCGTTTGACTTTGGCATTGTTCAGTAAGGGCAAATTGATCGGCTCATGTCGCCCATTAAACATTCGGTGCTCGCCGCCGAGCCGCCCCCCCGCCCCTGTTCTCTGCGTCCACTGTGGAAAGGTGGATGTGGAAGGGGGGCGGGGGGACGGATTCTAGAGGCAGAACGGGCGGCTTTAGCGTCGTGGATCCTTTTGTTTGGAGTGTGCAGAAAAGTCGGCCGACGCACACGGCGCGGGGCTGCCGCTTGCTCCGTGTTGGTGGGGGGGTGTTTCCGCAGCCCGCAGTGCGTTTTTGTTACATGCCTTTCTGCACAAACTTGTAAAGACAAACAATGCACAGCAGTCGACATATACTCGTTTATTCTTTGCACCTGAAGAGTTTGCCCCAGGTGTTTTGTGCTGTTTTCGGTGTGGATGAGAGTTGGTGAGCGTCTGGTGCAGCCAACGGACGGCTGCTTCTGACTCCCCCACCCTGGACGGGTAGAAGGAATCCCGGGCTAGTACAACTGGAGCTCCGCCTGTCGTGGGCGATGGTTTATTTTGGAAGTTCCACCTTTTGTAGGAGGGTACTTGATGTGACGTTTACCACGCAGCGATTGGCTCTAGAATGTGAAATGGGCGGAGCCTGATCGTGCAGAAGGAATAGACCCCAGTTCTTTACAAAGTCACGTGTCATTTGAGTCCAGGAAGTAGTCCGTAATGTAGATGGACGGAAAGATCACCTGATGGATCCAAAAGGGAAATTGTAGGGTTGCGACTGGAATGTCAAAATAAAGGCTGCTGAAACACAAAAGACCCAACCGGGTATCGAATGGGTTGAAAGACACATGAAAGTAAAATGTGTCTGAAGTTGTCATTTTTCATCTCTTATCTGCAAACACGCGTCGTTTCTGCCTACAAACAAGTAGACCTCTGCACAGACCGAAATTTGGGCCTCTGTGTTTAGCATTTAACATAATCCAACAGTCAGCCATGGACTCCTTTCATCACTGACTGATCAGGGTGCTGTGCAAAAAGCTTAGTGGAAGCATGCCGGGTGACTGCAGACTTGAGAGGATTATGAAACGCACTCCATTCAGGAGTTTGGGAGTGAACCACAAGGTGTGGAATCAATGCTTTATGAGCCACCACTTGCATACATATCCAGGACATGCACTACAACTGTATTATTTCCCATGTGAAAACAATGGCTGACCCAGAGACATCAAAAGTGTCTTACCTGGTGGTGGTTTAAATAAAAGTATATTTTTGGATTTGCAGTGGGAAATCAACTTCCCTTGAGTGAGAGATAAGCTAGCTAGAGATTCAGTATGAAGTTGCCAGATTAGTCATCACTTTGTAAGATGACCTAGCAACTGCCTGCACTACCAAAACGGTCAATACCTGCTTCAGAGACCATGGGGAACACACGGCGTAAGATTGGCCAAAGACCCAACTTTACCAAAACACTGTGATCTTGTCAAGACAAATGAGTGACCATACTTTTTTTTTTTTTTTTACTTTAAAAAAGGTTTTTACCCCCATAACAACCTTTACTTGAGAGTGGTCAGACAGGAAGGTGGATTTTAAGGGAGGGGGAAGACATGCAGCAAAGGTCACTGGGTTGGGACTCAAAGTCATCAAGGACTGGGGCCTCCACAAATGGGTCACGCTTTACCCTTGCGCCACCACAGCACCCAACATGACCATACTTTTAAGAAGCGTCTATTTCTGAAAAACTGTATGGGTGTGTATTTATTTATTTAGGGTAAGCTACAATCATAAAAATGAACAGACACATGCAATAAGTAACTCTATAAGTAATGAATCAATGTAAGAGGTGTTTACCTTTTCTTATTAAATTGCTGAAAAAGGTTAGCATACTCAGTTATTCATACAAAAATGCCAAAACCAACAAAATGAACCTATATCAACATCACGTCTTTGGAAAATGTATTAAAAAGACTGATGCTATAGCATAATTGCATTTTTAAATTATAAAATTATATATTTAAAAAAGTACATTTACACCACAAAATGTCTTTTGCAGTTGTGTCTGGAGAACATTTCAAAGATAAACACTGCGAACCTGTCTGATTTACTCAACTTAGCCTCTGCACGTCAAGTCCAGAGGGGTGTGTTTGGTAACTGTGCCATAAATTTCTGATTGACAGCCCAAATTCAAAACATTAACAGAGGCCCCGCCCCTCCTATGGCTTCTCTGAATGAACCGACCAATCGCGTGTATTCTGGCGCGGGGTTTCGTCTGGCAGCCCCGCCCACCTCTCTAGCTAACCGAACGGAGATTGTTTTCCTCTCGGGGAGATTTTCACTTTGCTGCTCACTGCCCGAATTGTTTATTTTAAGTCACACGCCGCCGACAAGTTGCTTTTCACACTCTTCTGTTTTTAAACCAGAGGTGCGGTGGTGGGTCCAAATATAACGGATCGTCATATAATCGCCTGCAAACTTCTGCGCGCTGTTTGGGAGAGTGGTGAGTTCAACAGTATTCATTCAGTAAGCTAATGGAGCCAGCTAGTTAGCCTACGGTTTAAGTACACCAAACGGGATCATCCGCATCTCCATGCATGTCACTCTATCAGAGATAAACCTAAAACGTGCCGTATATAAATCCGGTTGTTAATTACTGACGTATTGTAAACATTTACCGTGTAAACCAGACTGATCGCTAACGGTTATCTGCATGCGTTTCCCTTCGAGCCCAGGACGGTCTTCTGTTCGGGCTACCCATGTTGTTTACATTAGCTAGCAGCTAGCTGGCGGCTCGGTACCGCAGGCAAGAAGACACATTTCCTGGAAAGTCATAAAAATAAACTGTATAATATGCTTTAACATGAGTATTCTATGAGACTGTTGATGGGCTTGGTCAGTTTTTTGCTTACCTGATAGAAATAGTGTGTAATTTCCCGAACTTCTTCGCCACGCTAAATGGCGGGCGTGTGGAGAGCATCGAGCTGGTAACTTGAGGTCGGTGCTTGTGTTTGCTAGGCCATGTAAACGTGACGCTGAATTGGTTTTGTCTAGCGTTGCGATGTAACAGTGACGGCAGCATTCAAGGGCGACGAAAATGCCTTTACGAGTGGAGTCGTTGACGCTCCCAAATGCATTAGCTTAGCATTCCGCGGCTGCTTTCAGTGCGACCGTGAACGGCTCAGCGGAGCTCAACCGCTGGACAGAAAGCGGCTAGCTCCGGTGCTTCGCTTCAGTGTTGTCTCTGTGTCACTTTGACTTGGGTGTTTTGAAACACTTTATTATAATTCGCGAAGCTTCGACATTATAAAAAGCCGTACATTCAAGTGGACAGAAGCTGCTAGTGTCTAGAGGAAGTTGTGAATGGCAGACGGACTCCCACGTTTCCACAGCACCTGTTTGTTGCATCGCTGACGTAGGCTTCTCGTGTTTTCATTGGCTACGGAGAGCGCGAGCTGCACATTCAGTACATGCTATTTGAACGAAAGTAGATACACACGCTGTTGCTTTTCTGTTACAGGTTGAATTAGACTGTAATTAAAAGGAAATTACAGCTTTAACATTAAACTCTCGAACAGATATAAGCTAAAACAAAAAAAAGTTATCTAAAATGTAGCTAGATACACTTATCTAGTCTAAATTGTACAACTGTTTATTTTTCCACATTAACCAATTTTTCTTGCTAAATTAGACAGTTAGTACTGCTATGTATTTATACACAAGCAGCTACAGTGGATCGGAGGTGACCAATTTATACAAACTCACAAAAACATCAGAAAGTTTAAATAAAATGTGACCAGACATTTAATTCAGAACTTTTTAGGTGACTTTCTGTTAAAAGGTTAACAGTAGCGATAGCATTGTTACCTGTACCAAAGGTTACCAAGGTTGTAAAAAGTTGCTGTTTCAAATGTATTCCTAATATATATATATTCCTTTTTTTTTTTTTTTTGCTATATGTTTCCCTCTAATTATAACCCTCATTTTAGCGGCAGCACAAAAAAATATTTACTTTGTTCTGAATAAAAGCAGTGAGGTCCCATTATACACGTTTGTTTTTCATTTTTGTTTGAATACTGTAAGAATCTCATCCCACCTTATATGCCTAACTATACTGATTTAATAAATTACTGGCAGTAGATAAATCTTTCTATGTTTTTATTTAGTAAAAATCCAAATTAGTTGGCTCCAGAGGCTATTTGTTAGCTTTAGCCTCCTGAACCAACTAATATGGAGTTAACCCAACTGTGCAGCAGTGGGAAGTGTAGCTGTCTTGCAGTCCTAAGGTTGTGGGTTTGATTCCATATGTTCTGCCACATGTTGTTGTGTTCAGGGGCAAGACACTTAACACTGACCTGCGTGTCAGTGTATGAATGTGGCTCTGGTGCAAGGAGTCACTATGACTAGTAAGGTGCTATTTAGTGATTCACTTTACTGAACATGACTGCTTATGACGTTTTACTTGAACCTCACATCAAAAAGTCTGAGCTGTCTCTTTAAAACTATTTCATAACGCAGGCCACATGCTTGTTCTGTGTAAGTTTGTGCAATAACAAAGTCAGGCATGCATGATCACTTGGTAATAAATCAATACGGTCCTCGGTATTGATTCCCAGCTTGATCTTGTTGCTAAAAGCTATGAATGTCTTCGGTCTGAAGCGATTTTTAGTCATTTTCCACTTCGGCAAATCTGCCGAATTGTTGCCACTCCATGCGTCTTCTTCGTAAATTTACGAAGAAGACGTAAATTTACGTCTTCTTAGAAGAGAGTAGATCAATTCAACGCAGGGGTTTGACGGCTCGACTGAGAAAGCTGACCTGCTGTCCCTGCATTCCCAGGTCTCGCAGCTCTCACAAGCATGAGTTCATAATGAAGCGCCGTCTGGAGGATCAGGACACGGTTTTTGCGTCGCAGCAGCGGAGGCTCACTGGCAACCCGGAGCCTTTCCAGCATCGCATCCTGGCCCCCGCCCCCGCTGCTCCAGCCGTGTATGAAGCCGTGACCGACAACATGCAACCCACAGCTGGCGTCCAGTACTCCGTCCCCCAGGGATACCAGGTAACAAAAATTTAGCTCATAAGGCTCTAAAAACAATTGTCATCTATGGTACTTTGCAAAGTTATTCTATCTTTAATTTTAATACATTTAGTCATATTGGAGCAACAAACAGCAGTGTATTTCACTGGGATTTCATGTGATGGACTAAACACAGACATATGCATATCTATGGTTTGCAAAATTGTTACTTTAAAAAAATCTGAAAAGTGTGGGGTGCACTTTTATCCAGCCTTCTTGAGTCAGTACTTTGCAGAACCACATTTCACTGCAATTATAGCTGCATGTCATTTGCAGTTGTGTCTCCACCAACTTTTCATTTGTGGAGCAACACACCACACACGAAACGGTTTTACTCACCAATTCTTGTAAAACCTCTCGAGACCAAACGTAATTTTAGAGAAACAAACATGGCCGACTGGGAAAAAGCAATGGCGATAGTTTGTGAGCTATGTTTAGCAGAGAAAAACAATCCAAGGACATTTACAACTTATGCTTGCTGTTACACCATGGTAGTTGTTTTGTCTTCTATGCATTTTGGAAACCCCTCCATGTTCCTATCACCTCGCTTTCTGATTGGCTAAACATCACAGTCGAGAAACTACGTTCTCGTTTGTCACACCACATGTGATATTGGACTAAGACAAGTGAATATCCCCAATTTTAGATCGCTTTCACACATGGCAGGAATGTCATTCAATATTACCTTAAGACAGAGGTTCCCAAACTGTGGAGCGCGCCTCCTTGGGGGGGGCGCCGTGTCATTGCAGGGGCGATGCGGGAAGCCGTCTGGATGAAAAAACAAAACAAAACATGAACACTGTATGCGCTGGGTTTTTACCTTAGAATGGCCAACTCTCTGTTATTCCTATGTCAATTTGATACAGTAGAGGCTTCCACACTAACCATATTTGTGTCCTCTGTCACTTTTATCAGCAGTTAAAACTGTTTAATCCGTTGTTAACATGTTGTAACCTGTTTTTCCGAGCCGCCTTTAAACGCAACATGAGCGCTACGACGCTCGCGCTGGGTTTCCACCTGTGAAGGAGACCTGCTGCTGCTGCTGGGCGGAGCTACGTAGGTTTGTGTTAGAATCACGGCAGCAAACCAGCAAAACAAAGAACTTTTCACAGTTTTTCCCTCCAAACTAACCGACTGAGTTGAGTAAAGCTGTTGGATGCAGGTAATGTTAGCTAAAAGATGACTAGCTAATATCAATACAGCACCTGTAGCTTAACAAGTAGCTTGTAGGCTACCGATGTTGGTGTCTATTTTCAGCCCCCGGCACATGCGTCGTTTCAACCAGACAGCCATTTGTAATCCATAGGGGGGGCGCAGAAAATGTTTGGAAACCACTGGGGGAGGCGCAGAAGAAAAAGTTTGGGAACCACTGCCTAAGACCAATCTCTCTTATCAGGTTATCCTAAGATTGAATGATGGGGAAATCAGAACAAAAATCAACATAGAAATCTTGTCGTGTGAACTTGGCAATTAGGTGGACGACTTTTCAGTTACGCACTACTTTGTGTTGCTCTGTCCCATAGTTATAATTATAGTAATGTTCATGGAAACTTGGGGCTGTGCCATGAATTAGAACATTGTGGTTGTAACATGAATATATGGATAATTTCATGGGGTGTAAATAATAAGTAGTAAGTCAGTGAAATACTGTGTCCTCACTCTGTTCAGCGAAATCCTTCTTATTAAAAGTGTCTCTCCTTCCTCAGGTCCCTACCGTGGCCCAGAACAGTGGCGGTCACAGTCACGCCCCGAGTCCGGCGGTCCACACTGGGCCCCACCATCACAGCCCCGCCGTTCAGTCCCACGGGCCCTCGGTGATGTCAGGGCACGGGCACACAGCGGCCCCTCCATCCTCTGCACAAGGTCACCAGCAGTTCCAGAGGCTTAAGGTAAGTCAGTCCAAGCGTCTGCCTCTGATTCCCTTAGTCGTCAATCAAGAGTTTTGCATCTGTAGAACGTGAATATGATCATGTCTGCCTTGCCCTCCATGTCTGTTAGGTGGAAGACGCTTTGTCGTATTTGGATCAAGTGAAGCTCCAGTTTGGGAATCAGCCTCAGGTCTACAATGACTTTTTAGATATAATGAAAGAGTTCAAGTCGCAAAGGTGAGACAGCTAGATGTAGGTCTCACAAATCAGGTAACAGTAGCGTATTCCAGCTCCTAAGCTCATCACCGCTGCATTGTTTGTGTGTGTGTGTTCATCAGCATCGATACTCCCGGGGTCATCAGCAGGGTGTCGCAGCTCTTCAAAGGTCACCCCGACCTCATCATGGGGTTCAACACTTTCCTCCCCCCGGGGTACAAGATCGAGGTCCAGACCAACGACCTGGTCAACGTAACGACGCCAGGTCAGATCCACCACATAACGCCGCACGGCATCTCAGTCCAGAACATCCCCATAACGGGAGCAGCCACCCAGCACCCGCCCCAGCTCCCAGCTGCTGCGACAACCACTGCCGCCGCAGCCGCTCCGCCTCTTCTGACGCAGCCATCCCCAGCCAAGATGGGCAAGGTGAGCTGGAGGGAACTCTACAGCGTTGTTGTGCGCATGTGTCGCATTTTAACATAGCACTTTTTCTGTTTTAGCCTCCTCAGCCACAGGCGCTGACACCAACCGGCCAGACCAATCCGTCCATCCCCGCATACACCTCCCCCCGCTCTCCACCCGTGCAGCTCCACCCGGCCCTCAGTGGGACCCCTGCTGGCCCGCCTATGCAGAACAACCAGCCCGTGGAGTTCAACCACGCCATCAACTACGTCAACAAGATCAAGAACCGCTTCCAGGGCCAGCCAGACATCTATAAAGCCTTTCTGGAGATTCTCCACACGTACCAGGTCTGTCTGGATGAAGGCAGAAAGCTTGGAGTGTGCTCTAATTAATCTGAGTTGTTACAAAATGTAACTTTTTCTTTGTTTCTGCACCGTAGAAGGAGCAGCGTAATGCTAAAGAGGCTGGGGGTAACTATACACCGGCTCTGACAGAGCAGGAGGTCTACGCTCAGGTGGCCAGGCTCTTCAAGAACCAGGAGGATCTGCTATCGGAGTTTGGACAGTTTCTCCCTGATGCCAATAGTTCAGCAGTAAGACTTTTTCACATTGTTTCTGCTTCATAATCTCAAACTTCAGTGTGTTTTATTTGAAAGTATGGTGTGTGTTTGAGGTGAGCCCCCTTCTTTGTTTGTGTTTTGGTGAAGAAAAGTCAACGAAGTTCATGGTAATGTGAATTGGTCAGCTGGTCAGTCCCATCTGACAAGACCACCTTCTTCCACATCTTTGCCGTGTGACCTATTTGACTTGAGGGAACCTTTGAATTTGAATTCCTATATCTTTCTTCGAACTGTGACTCTCTCGTTTAGTCTTCCAGTGAATGCACAGTGGACCTGTTGTTGTTGAGTTGTTGTGGCCTTGGAGCAAGTTGGTCCACGCTGGACTCATAGCCCACATCCTGCTCATAGCCCAGCTTGGGATGTTGTTGTACAGAGTCTGCGTGTTCTCCATTACCCTTAGGAATAAGAATACCTCACCAGGGAGGCTTCATAGCCAGATACCTGAGCCACTTCAACTGGCTCCTCTTGATGTGGAGTCCCTCTGACTAAGTTTCTCACCATGTCTCTAACTCTGAGCCAAGACACCCTGCGTAGGAAACTCATTGAGAGCGCTTGTATCCACAATCTCATTCTTTCAGTCATTACCCAAAACTCATGATGATGAGAGAAGAACGTAGATCGACCGGTAAATGAAAAGCATCACCATTTGGCTTAGCTCTCTCTTCACAACGACAGACCACTACAGCGCTTGCATCACTGCAGACGCATTATCAGTATACCTATCAAGTTGTCCTTGATTGGTGGGATTACTTAGACTTTTCGACTTGAGGCATGAATTTGTCTGAAGCCCGGAAAGGGTACTCTAGCTGTTCCAACTCAAGACTTTGGTCTTGGCCCAGAACTTCTCCAGTAAAAGCTGGAGATCACTTTCCTGAAACCGACAGGTCCGCATTGTCTGCAAACAGCAGAGACCCGATTCTTAGGCCAACAAAACAGGTCCCCTCAATACCTTGGCTGTGCCTAGAAGGAGCAGAATCTGTGACAAAGGGCAACTTTGATAGAGAACGTCTTTCATCAGAAACAAGCCTGACTTACCCTCAGCAATGTGAACCAAGCTGTTAAATTGGTCATTCTGGGACCTGACAGCCCATATCAAGGGTCTGGTGCTCCATATTCCTGAAGTACCCCCAACGGGACTCCTAGAGCGACGCAACTGAACGCCTTGTCCAAGTCTACAAAAGACCTGCAGACTGGTTGGACGAACTCCTGTCCACTCTCCAGGAAACTGCTGAGGGCGTAGGGCTGGTCCACTGTTCTACAACCAGGAGGCAAACCACACTGGTCCTCTTCAGTCTAATTCTCAACTATCCTGCAGCCACATTTCTCTGGAACAGAGGAATTGCCAGGGACGCTAAGAAATGTGATCCACTTCATCACTCACCAGCAGCTTCCCCAGTTAGAGCTGTGACTCTTTGGAGCTCCTCCAAAAAGTTACTCTGAAGTTCTTCTGGTTAAGAGTCTTCTTGTCCAGCCTGTCATGGTACATCTTGTTAGGTTTGGAGTTTAGCTATCCTCTTTCCAATTTTAGATGATAGATTGAACAGAGCAACCTAACCCCATCTTCTCCACAACTTTCTCTAAAAAATGCCGTGAGACGTATCTCAGTCACTGTTGTGTCTTTCCCACCAGATGCTAAGTAAGACCAACGCAGAGAAGGCCGAGTCCGTAAAGAACGACCACGGCCTCACCACCAAAAAGGTGGTGCTCAACAACAAACAGAGGCCCAATCAGAACGGCTGTCAGATCCGACGCCACCCGACTCCGGGGCCCACGCCACCCGTCAAGGTTTGCACACACATTCCGCTGAAGCTTTATCCCTTCTCTGTTTTTGTTTTCGCCTTCATCTCTGGTTTATTGTTAATGGGCCTTCCTATATGTGTATTTGTTCTCTCTGCAGAAAAAGCCCAAGTTACTGAATCTGAAGGACTCTCCGGTGGCCGATCCCAGCAAACACGGAGTCGGCACAGAGTCGCTGTTCTTTGAAAAGGTAAGTTTGGCTTATTGTTGTTTGAAAATGAAACAATGGAATGCCCTGACAAATTGTCCCCAAATTTCTTAGTTTTGGAAGATCGACAGACTATATTTACTTATCCAGTGATATCATCTACCTCTGTATAGGCCTAAAAATCAAACACTGTCCCGTTTTGCTCAGCCACTAGACACGGATGACTGCATGGTTAACAATAGTCACCCAACTGTTAACGTCTTAGCGACTTTGTTGCTTTATTTAGTGACTTTTCAGGCAAAAAATTCAGTATCAGCCAAAATCAGAAATTGTGCATCCCTAATTTTTCTACTCTCCAGTGAAGTTAAAGGTATCATTAAGGGTAAACTGGTTGAAAACACTGGGAGTTTTCTGTTTTTGGACAGTCACACTTGCGTGTTTGCACATTATAACCCCTGACATCATCCTACGTAGGTCCGCAAAGCCTTGCGCAGTGCCGAGGCTTACGACAGCTTCTTACGCTGCCTGATCATCTTTAACCAAGAGGTGATCTCCAGGGCTGAACTGGTGCAGCTGGTGCTGCCCTTTTTGGGGTACGTAAACCCGTCATATGATCTAAAAACTATTTAAACAGCCCTTGTCTCTTAGTGTTTTTGTGCTTTTTTTTTTTTTTTTTTTTTTTCCTAATTTTTTTTTCCAGGAAATTTCCAGAGCTGTTCAACTGGTTCAAGAACTTCCTGGGCTATCGCGAAATGTCCCACATTGAGACGTACCCCAAGGAACGCGCCACCGAGGGCATCGCTATGGAGATCGATTACGCTTCCTGTAAGAGGCTGGGTTCCAGCTACAGAGCTCTGCCCAAAAGCTACCAGCAACCCAAGTGCACCGGCAGAACTCCGCTTTGTAAGGAGGTGAGGCACGTTAAGAGTCGTACGTTTCATTTCTGTTACGGTTGGGTTATAAGATCAATGACATTGGGTTCCTAAGAATGTTTAGAGAGTCACCAAACAGAACTAGAAGTCAGTTAATGATGGTTGATGGAGACATTTTAAACTCTTTTCTTTTTCTTTTTTAGCATTTTGTACTAGCAATTAATAATATATGCTAATAAGTAGGACTTGCGCTACTTGTGAAACAATTGCTCTTGCGGCAACAAAATATGTTTTTCTAGACCCACAAAAGCTTTTTAACTTTGCAAATTTGATCTAAGTTTGCTAATATAAAACATAAAACTTGGTTATTGTAAAGCTAAAACATCAAGTATTTCTTTATTTGACTGAGAAATAAAGAAAAAGTTTAAACTTTTATATGGAAAAACAGGTATTTTTCTTGTGATAGAACTTTATGTTTTACCTTTATATATATGAAAAAAAAACTTGAAAATTAGAGAGTTGAGTGGTATCATATAATGTTTTTTTTGTTTGTTTTTTTACATAATTATTGTCCCTGGTTATTAAGGATCCACTTTTTGAAGTGGCACCTAAGATTGTTGTAAATATTTTAGTGATCAAGTAATCAAATAAAAAACTTGTTCCATTTTGGCGTACCCGCTTAAGCTAGTAAAAGAATTTATGGAAGAGAAAATGCTAGTAAAAACAATTCAGTTTCTATTTTTAATGAAGAAAAAAAAAACATTTTATTGTTTAGAATGCAATGCGGTTCAAACGTCACTTTTGGTCTCAAGTTTGAAATATGCAGTTGGAGCGAAATGCTTCGTTTCCATCCCGTCTGTGGACATTGTTTGAGTCTTTCCTGCCCTGCGTCCAGGTCCTGAATGACACCTGGGTCTCCTTTCCCTCGTGGTCCGAGGACTCCACGTTTGTCAGCTCCAAGAAAACTCAGTACGAGGAGCACATCTACAGGTGTGAGGACGAACGCTTCGAGGTGAGCAGGAACATTCTCAGCTGTCTCTTCTACATGGTTTTTATTCCCGTAGCGAGCATTTTTGGTTTGGTTTCCCCCCATCCGTCATGAGCGGCAGGTTTTTAACAGTTCTTGTCTCGACACAGCTGGACGTGGTCCTCGAGACCAACCTGGCCACCATCAGAGTGCTGGAGACGGTGCAGCGGAAGCTGTCCCGCATGTCCGCCGAGGAGCAGGCCAAGTTTCGGCTGGACAACACGCTGGGTGGCTCCTCGGAGGTCATCCACCGCAAGGCCATCCAGAGGATATACGGAGACAAAGCTCCCGACATCCTCGATGGCCTGAAGAAGAACCCGGCCGTTTCTGTTCCCATCGTGCTGAAAAGGTATCTGCTGAACTAAAGACTTCCTGTTTTGTCAGATTCGATACCAAAGCGTGTAAAAGTTCAGGGTTTCAACCTTAAAAGACGCCTCTTGGGGTTGCGGAGTTTTCGCTTGACTTCACTTGACTTCGTCTTCTGTTGCGGCCAGGTTAAAGACAAAGGAAGAGGAGTGGCGGGAAGCCCAGCGAGGCTTCAACAAGATCTGGAGGGAGCAGAATGAGAAGTATTACCTCAAGTCTCTGGACCACCAAGGCATCAACTTCAAACAGAACGACACCAAAGTGCTTCGATCCAAGTCTTTGCTGAATGAAATCGAAAGCATCTATGATGAGGTAACGAATTTCCGCGTTTCGTCTTTCTTGTTCATCTCCAGTGTTTATGATAGTGCAGAATATTACTGTGAAAAGCTTTCAAGTGTGGATACAAGCATGAAAAATTCCACTTTAATTTCAAGATGAGAGCCATTTCCAATATGGCTGCCGTTTCTGAGCTGTTTAAGCCAGATATTGTCCTAAGACGTTACAGATTTTCATGACTTTGATTAGCTTTGTGTCGCATCAACAGCTACGATCTTCCTATTCATACAACTTTCAATAATATCCAGCAAAATCAAAAACCGAGCATGTTACTGTTTGCACGTCTCCCACCAGTCATCAACTGGTGACATAGATTCAGCGTCTTAATTTTTAGCGTTAGCTTCCACTCATTTTTCTATGCTTTTAATGACTTGGCGTTAGCGGCGCGAGGCTTCTTTTTGAACAAATTAGTGGTTAGTGAACTTAACCTTTCGGGTAGCTCTGCCCAACACTTTAATCTAATTGGCCAGTTTAATGCAAATATTTTCTAACGACCATGGCGACCATCTTGAAAAATAAAAAAGAAAGCTATCAGGAAGTATAATTTCTGTGGATCCAGTTATGTAGGATTTGACACCAAAAATATTAAGTTGTGATAAATATTGCCAAATTTAGTGCAAAGAATGTTTTCCTTGACGAATATGGTGGCCATTTTGAAAAATGGCCTGTGGCTCTAATTTTTAAGTGGCTAAAAAATTTTTTAGAAAACAACCCCTAGAAACATCTGTGTTAGGTTCTTGTTAGCCTTGCTAGCCCCTTTTGCTATGCGCTGCTTTGTTCAAAAGGACTGGGCTTCCTGGAGTCGTGGACTCTGTTGAGGTTTTAAATGTCAGCACAACATTTGCCTGTGACTTATGTAATGCTAAGTCAATATTTGGAAATGTGGCTAACGCAGACAAAGTGAACGGTTTTGTTCACTTCCTCCACTGCCATTTCTAAATCTGAAGGTAGACTAGAATTACATAGCAGCGCAGAAAATCAACGCCACAACTTCTCCTTCTGTTTGCTGATTGGCCCGTTTGAAATTTTAACGGAGTAATCAAAGTGAATGGGAGAAAGTGCAGGAAGTCAATGGCCAATCTAGGTTCATCCGCACGTGAGAGATTTTGCTGAAATACTCAGTTATCTGCTGCGCTGTAGGGAGAATCTGATGTCTGTAAAGCTACGTCTTGACTTCCAGCGGCAGGAGCAGGTGTCGGAGGAGAACGCCGCGGCCCCCACGGGCCCCCATCTGACGCTGGCGTACGAGGACAGCCAGATCCTGGAGGACGCGGCAGCGCTCATCATTCACCACGTGAAGCGGCAGACCAGCATTCAGAAGGAGGACAAGTACAAGATCAAGCAGATCATCTACCACTTCATCCCCGACATGCTGTTCGCGCAGCGCGGCGAGCTGTCGGACCTGGAGGAGGAGGAGGAGGAAGAGGACGGCGAGCCGGACGAGGCGGGCGCGTCCAAGAAGCACAACGGCGTCCCAGGCAGCGGGAGCCCCTCCAAGTCCAAGCTGCTGTTCGGCAACACGGCGGCACAGAGGCTGCGCTCGTGCGAGGACGACGCTTACAACCTCTTCTTTGTCAACAACAACTGGTACATCTTCTTGCGGCTGCACCAGACGCTGTGCTCGCGGCTGCTGAGGCTGTACGAGCAGGCGGAGCGGCAGATCGACGACGACGTCCGCGAGCGGGACTGGGAGAGGGAGGTGCTGGGGCTGAAGAAGGAGAAGAACGACAACCCCGCCGTCCAGCTGCGACTCAAAGAGCCCAGTGAGTGAAACTTCACAGATAAACACGCTGAGAGTTTCTTTTTTTTTTTTTTTACTGAACATGCTTCATTTTAGAAAAGTGAAAATAACCTCAAATTTCTGATAAAACTATTAAAGATATGGGGAATACACAGGAATACATGTTGGCTAAGCTAATCGCTAAAATACAAATCAAAAATTTGATTTGAACTCTTTTATCATTTTGTTTTAATTGATAGAACGCAGTACTGTAAGAATTGTGAAAAGCATAACGTTCATAACGCCTCTGCTCTCCAGTGGACATCGAAGTGGAGGATTACTACTCGGCCTTCCTGGAGATGGTCCGGAATTTGCTTGACGGGAACATGGAGGCGTCTCAGTACGAGGACTCCCTGAGGGAAATGTTCACCATACACGCTTACATCGCCTTCACCATGGACAAGCTCATCCAGAGCATCGTCCGGCAGGTAACGGGCCCCGCTCGCTCAGAGCCGCCTTCTCTGTTGGCGCCGCAAGTCTGACCTCCTTCAACCCCCCCTCACTTTCTCCTCTCCTCCCTCTGTAGCTGCAGCACATAGTGAGCGACGAGATCTGCGTTCAGGTGACTGACCTGTACCTGGCCGAGAGTGGGAATGGTGCCACCGGGGGGACCACGTCCGCGCAGCCGTCGAGGAGCCCGGCCGAGGCGGCCTACCAGCGTAAAGCCGAGCAGCTCATGTCTGACGAGAACTGCTTCAAGGTGAGCATTCAGCTTTACCAGATTAAAGGGCATTAGTCGTCTTATTCTTTTAATTTCCTGTTGTTTATAATTATTCTTTTCATTTTCCTATCTTGAGTTGAGAAATAATGGAAATACTACTTTTGTTGTTGCTTCTTTTTTTTTCTGTCAACCTTAAATTTTTAGATCATCAAACAATTTTTACCGTATGTGAAAAGGCATTCTGCGCCTCTTGCAAAATAAAATAATCCCTTAATTTCACAAGTCTCACCCAGTTCTGTTCACCGTCCGACCTGCAGAGTCACTAAATGACTTAATCTAAATAGCAAAAGTGAAGGGAAGTGACTGAAAGTCTCATCTATTCTTGATATAATCAATCCTCGTTTTAGTCATGAGAGTCTTAACACTGTTTTAAATTGGTATTTTAAGGTTCTTTAGTCATTGACCCTAAAAAAAAAAACAATCCCTTCAAGCTCTTGCTGCCTGTAGCAGATGGAAGAGAATCTACTTCTTCTGCTGCGTACAAACTACTATTCATTTGGCTCAGACACTTGAGAAAGAAAAAGGCACTGTTGCAGCTGGTTGCAAGGTTTCTTAGGATTGGTGTTTGATTTATTTACTAAAGCGATCCAAAATTTTTAGGTTTTGTTTTTATAAGGTGATTTTTGTTTTTCTCCATTAAAATGGAGTTTAGATGAGCGTTACTGCTGGGAGGAACATCCAGTCTTCACCGACTCTTTTTCTGTGATAATAATTCCAACTTTTGGTTATTTTCAGTGGTTTGACTTCTTCTCCCTCTTCTCGCTCCCTCAGGTGATGTTTTTGAAAAGCAGAAGGCAAGTGCAGCTGACAGTGGAGCTGCTCGACACAGAGGAGGAGAACTCTGACGAGCCCTTGGAGACTGAGGTCAGAGGTCGCTCACCTGACGCGTGTTGGCTCTGAACATTCAGCTGTCTGCTTCAGATCCTTGAAAATGTTTGAATTTCACCCAGGTGGTTCCAAGGCTTGGCGAATTCTCGATTTGTGTGTAAAGTGCTTGATTTTCACACTGCAGTTTTGGAATAAAGTGTAATCCAACGTTTTATTAAAAGACTAAATTTGGAAAATGTTATTTACAGCTGAAAAAGGTACTTTCATACGCCTAATAAAAACACATAAATATTATTTCTGAAGTGAAATCAGACAAATTTTTCTTTGTTTTAGGTCAGTTTCCAATTTCCAAAATTATTTCTATTTGCTAAGCTGCAGAAAATTTATTGAGAATATTTTTTTGTAACTTTTTGTATATTGTTGTCTTTAAGTGTTTAATTTAAGCAGGAAGGCAATTTACCTTCACAAGATTTCTTGAGATTGTTTCAATTTAATGGATATCTATTATTCCTAATGGCTCAATAACTTAACTGAAAAAAAGCGCGGCTTATATTTTATACGTTAAACCACGCAATTGAATTTGTGGGATTTTTTTGTTAAATTTCTGTTTTGTTCTTGGATCAGTCAGGCGTACAGGCTGTTTGTGAGAGAGACATTTCAAAACATTACATTTTAGTTTACCTCGTCCCTGCTGTTGTTCATAGAATACTATCACAAGACATTTTTAATAACGATAATAAATGATCTCAAGTTACAGTGAATTGAAATAGTCTTTTTTTATTGTTAATTTGTATTGCTTTAATTTCCAAAGTGTGGTGTTGGAAAAGTTTGGAAAACTTGCCTTGGAAATGCTTGAAAAGTTCTTGAATTTTACTGTGGGAAAAGTGAACGAACCCTGTTGTTTTGTGTTTGCAGCGTTGGTCCGACTACGTTGGACGTTACCTAAACCCGGACTCCACCACTCCGGAGCTGAGGGAGCACCTCGCCCAGAAGCCCGTGTTTCTTCCCAGGTACTCTCTTTTGTTCTTCCTCCTCATGTGTCAAATTTCTGACACTTAGTGACAGATGTGATGGTTCAAATGTGAGTCCTAGTTAGAATCATTCAAAATTAGAAGTTAAAAAGCTAACGTTAGCTCAAATGCTGTCATTATCTTGTTGGCTCACGCTAACATGCTTAGCAACTTTAACTTAATCGATTCGGTACGCTAATGTTTGTCCAAGTCAAAATTATTAACAAAGGTATGTTTGCTTAAATGCTTAAACGTTGGCTTTTGCTAGCACATTGGGTAACATTAGCTTAATACATTACGTAAGTTAGGTCAAAATTAGCTAAGAAGGAAATGTTAGCTTAATGATTTATGACTTACAAGAGCTATACTTAGCAATTTTAGCTAAAGTAAACTAATATAAGCCAAATTTACTTAATTAAACTTAAGTAAGCTAATTTTGGTTCAAGTCAAAATTAGCTAAAAAGCTAATGCTTGCTTAAATGCTTTCAGTATCACATCTATCTTGTGATAGATGTGATACTCAGATATGAGTTCTTGTTTGATTAATTTAAGGCTGACGAATTTGTCCCGACACGATTAACCTCAGGATATTATGTCCCGTTCTTCCTACCAGGAACCTAAGACGGATCCGGAAGTACCAGAAGGGCAGGGAGCAGATGGACAAGGAGGCCTGCGAAGGAGGGAAGAAATCCTTGGAGAAGGAGAAGATGGAGTGCATGTTCAAACTAAACTCCTACAAAATGGTCTACGTCTTTAAGTCTGAGGACTACATGTATCGACGCACCGCCCTGATGAGGGCTCACCAGGTACTCACCAAAACTTTTTCCACCAAGTTAAAGTCTGACTCTGACTTTGCTGCTCTGTGCTGTTTAAAAGACATACAAATATTACATCCCTTCCTGTTTGTCCCCCCTCAGTCACACGAGAGGGTGAGCACGCGGCTGCACAAGCGCTTCCAGGCCTGGGTGGATGCCTGGGTCAAAGAGCACGTCACTCGCGACATGAGCGCCGACACCACCAAGTGGCTGATGGGCGAAGGGCGCGACGGCCTGCTGCCCTGCTCCACCACGCGCCACCCGGAGGTCCTCCACTTCATGAACATCAACAAGTACCGCGTGAAATACAGCACGCCGAGCAAGGCGCCGTAGCTGACGGCGGCGGGGGGGGGAAGGGAGGAGACATAGTGGACTCCTGGGGGGAGGTGTGGTCTGAGGCCACAATGTAGAGGTAGGGATTAATATTGTGATTTTTTTTTATTATTATTATTATTTTTAAAGGCCAACATGGGAGCAACGCTGATATTCACTCCCTCATGTGTTACATCCAGGGCGGCAGGATGACAGATTTTCTGTTCGTTTCGTTGTTTTACCAGCGTTTTTAGCTGGGCCCAGCTTTTTTTTTTTTTTTTTTTTTCTTTTTTCCCACAGGGCCTTTTGGTGCCAAAACTTAGGAGTGCTCACGTTCCTGAGCTCCAACCAGCACTCAGAGCCACGGCACAAACATTTTCTTCCTTGAGCCGGTTTCTGACAGGTGGCAGCGAAACGGCGAGTGGTGCTTTCTGGACTTTCCTCCGAACCGAGCTTTGCTTCGGCTCGCCACCAGCCGCCCCTCCAGTCAGAAGCCATCGGAGCTCCCATCTTCCTACCTGAGGCGTTATTTATGGGAAAAACAATGAGATGAAGCAAAGTGCACTTATCCAGAAGGAGGAAGGGGTTTGGAGGGTCTGGTTCCGACACGACATTCCCGCGTTCACGACAGAATCCAGATCACGCGTCGTCACCGGGTGGAAAGCGGGAGGTTCGGGGGGGTCTGGGTTCACGTTTCTTTTTCCGAAACACACGGCAGCATTATTACAGACTGTGCCTGAGCCCTACGCGGTGCTGTCTGGTTACCGCAGGAAAGCACTGTTTCGTTTCATGTAATAAAAGCGACAAAAAGTAAAAAAAAAATCACAACACTGTTTGTTCCTCCAACTGTAAAATTGTATAGCTTGTGAATGTCAGATCCTGACATGTATTCCAGTGTATGTGTTGTGTATATATATTATATATAGTTCTATTAACACACAAGATCCTCGCCGCCCTGGAAGTCGACCTTTTAAAGACGCCCTCTGCCAATACACCAGCTCGCTCACCGAACGCACACACACACACACACACACACACACACACACACACTCGACTCATTCTGGAGGACTGTCCTCATCCCGCTCATGTTGTAAATACTCTGTAAATAGTCTCAGACTTTTTATGACGGATCCGTGTTGTTGTGCTAGTCTTTCCAATCTTACTGTGGACTTTAGTGATTAACGGCTAAAGTTAGGATGTACATGAAACAGACAAATGCGAGCCCATTTATTACCATTTTTACCAAAGGGAGTTGTTAATGAAACACTTATGATTTTTTTTTTTTTGTTCTTCTTTTCTGCCCCCCCGCCTTTGTGTGTTTTTATTTTCCGTCTTTGCTTTTTAATTTCTGTCGTAAGGACATCTGGAGGGGAGAGGGAAGTTCATATGAATCCAGGTCTTTCAGTTTTTGTTTTGTTTCTTGTTTGTTTTGTTCTCTTGACCGTGACAGCTCTTTGGTCAAAAATCACTGCCTCCGTTTGACAACGCCGTCCAAGGTTACTGGTGAGCCGTATCTCAAAGAGCGAACCCCTCGGCACGCTTCCTTCTCCCTGGGTCGTTTTCTGCAACCCGCACCATATTTTTGATAATGTAAGAAGTGACATGAGCATGTCTTTAGTCCCTTTATTTAGACCTTATTTAAAGTAATAATAAAAAATGACATTTGTAGCCTATGAAAAACCCTTGTGGAGATTTTTTTAAATTGTTTTCTTGTCGTTCCCTACTTCATTACAAGCAATGGTTTTGGTTTTCTTTGGCCAATTTTGAGTTACTGATATTTTTAAATCTCTTATCTTCCAACTCTTGTTGGTGATTCACAATTGAAAATGAAAGCACTTTTTTGTGTCATCAGGTTGAATCCAAATAAAATATAACGAGATGTTTCTTAAGGCAAACACTGTAGGAACACACAGTTTTACCCGGGTGTTTTGGCCCACTTTCTAGTGCAAATGTCTTGGTACGCTTGGGGGGGGGAAAAAAACAAAACACAACTAACAGATAACTTTTCAGTAAGACATAGGAGCTTGTTTTAATTTTAAAAAGTCCTGGTAACACTTTATTTGAAGGGGGTTGAGTAAGGCTGACATGACACTGTCATAAACATGAATAAGCCTTAATTAATATTTATGACTGTTGTCATAAAGCGTCATTCGGTAAATTATGACACTTTTAATACAAAGTTGACATTATTCAAAATGTCTTTGTTATGACAACTTGACATTAACCAAGAAATCATTACTGATATAAATTTGTTATAAAAGTATTACTGATTGCACTTTAAAAATTAGGTATCTTTATGTTATTAAAGGTAAAGTTTAAACAGTAATGATTTCTTGGTTAATGTCAAGTTGTCATATCAAAGACATTTTGAATAATGTCAACTTTGTATTAAAAGTGTCATAATTTACCGAATGACACTTTATGACAACAGTCATAAATATTCATGAAGGCTTATTCATGTTCATGACAAGTGTTATGTCATGTTTATGACAGTGTCATGACGGTCTTATTCAACCCCCTTCAAATAAAGTGTTACCAAAGTCCTTAGTTTTGATTATGGAAATATTTTTGTAAAAATGTCTGCCAGTGCAGACTTAAGAGAAGTTCCTACTTCTTGCTGAAAAGTTACTTGAGAATTAGTTTAGTTTAGTTTAGTCTTATTTCAAGTGTACTAAAAATTTTTCACTGGACCAAAAATTCATGGTAACATTTTGAATATGTGAAGTTAAAAATGAAGAAGAAACTTTCTACGACATGTTAAAACACGTCCGGTTCATTAAGACTATGAGAGAGGGAGATTTTCGGCAGATAACAGGAAGGTTGAACATAGTACCCCAATGCAGCTGTGTTTATTTCTTTTATGGAATCTACTAGATTTGACAGGATTCCTGATGTCGCCCAATTAAGGTAAGAATCTACAGTCTGGCTATTATTACTGAAACAGAAATGTCTGTGTGTATAACCCCAGTGAACTGCTGCAGTCGAACTTCAATGACCAAAGGGCAAACCTTCAAGAAGAGTGGAACGCCATGCCTCTACAGATGGATGACAGGTCGACCAGTCTACAACATGAAAAGTCGAATCTATGCTTAAGGATTAAAAGTTATTCGGATGTTGACTGGATATAAAGTGCAGACTCAACGAGTCTTAGGTCAAACTCAATATATTCAACACACCGAGGCACACAGGAAAACCTGAAACTGTGACTAATCAATCAATTTTTACTTGAATTGTATGCCCCCAAATTCATCAATCCCTACCTTTAGATTTTGAATCAAAGTTGTGTGGTCTTCCAAATGCCCTGCGACAGACTGGCGACCTGTCCAGGGTGACCCTGTCTCTTGCCTGAAACGTTCGCTGGAGACAGGCACCAACACCCCTCCTGAAAAAGGATGGACAGACAGATGGAAGGTCTTCCGAAATCAACAGCAATTTAAACTGAAGTTTCTCACTGACTTTCATTTTGACTAAGGTGGGAAATATTTCTGTATACAGTTTGACAAACGTCTGCAAAGTCTAAAATAAAAAGCAGATCACTTCTAAAGTGATAGTCCAAGCTGGAATTGATGCTTTTTTTAGTAAGTGCCTTTATAGTCTAATGAAGCGATACAGGTGAGATGTCTTAAAAATCATTTTAGAAAAGGTGCTAAAATTCAGTGGTTTCACTGATGAGCCGTCTTCCATCCTTACCAAGACTGTCATTCTATTTAAATCCTGCAGAGGGCGCTCTAACACTGTCCACGCAGACACCAGGCTCGTTGCATCTTGGACTTGCTCACCTTATTTTCCTGGAACTGTTTCTGCCAGTCGATCTTGGAGAATATGTTGGCATTCCCAAACTGTTCCCTTTGATTCACCAATGAGAGAGATCATCGTCAACATCAAGGACGATTGCGATTGTCCTCAGAAACCCCAGCAACAAAAAGCCTTTGCTAGACCATGCACTCTAAACCTTATAGGAGTTAAACTACACTGCGGTTTGAGATTGCTTATTGGCTATTTACTATCTAACGCTGATGACAAAAAGCTTGTTTGGATAAATTCACACAAATATGCCATGTTGACCCAGTGTGGTGCCTAAACCCTAATGAGGAGCGAGGCTGACACTTGACAGCAGAACCTCCCAGGCCTCCAACTGGCAGCGCTAACCGTGACTTCCTCAAAGGCAGCAAGCAGGAATTGAGGTTTTACCCTCCCTTCACCCCCAAAAAAAGCTCTTCTGCGTGATTACTTCCTTGGAGTGCACACTTCTGGACTTTTAACAACTTTCAGCTGCCCCATGTCGGGACTTCCGCAGCTTCTGAGTCAGAGAGTGAATCTATTGTCAAAACTACACAGTTTGCTTTTTGTCCGTCCGGCTCAAAAGGCCTTGGCACTCGCAACGCCAGGCAATTAACCCTAAGAGTGACCCTGCAGATTTCCCGTTAATCTTGTTTGTTGCATTTTTCAGAATTCGGTCGCTGAAGAGAGCCACAGAGCTTATAAAAGATAAAAGATGGTGCGTCATTGTGCTTTACCAGAGCAATCGGAGGTAAAGTGTTTGTCATGGTGTGGGACTTTCAGGTTTTTGGGTTTAAACCAAGACTGATTGACAGTTGCTTTTAATAACACAGAGACTCAATGCTTCCCATTGTCTCTTGAATTGTCAATGCGTTTTCTACCTGCCCCATCTTTTTCTATTTCCGGGAGGATTTTTCTTTTTTTTTTTTTTTTGAGACAGAGGAAGCAGCACTGCTTCATGCTGCTTTATAAGCTGATCTGTCTTCATGATGGGAACGTGCTGCTGGATACCATCCCCCCCCCATAACACGATTAGCAAAGTCTGGCACTCTAACATAACCTCTGCAAGCTGGTGAGCTCAGCAGCTTGTTGGTTGGGTTGACGATTTCACACGAGGAACCCTGAAAAAAATTTAATCCATCCATTCATCCATCCATCCATCCTTTTGTTCATCCATCCATCCTTCAATCAATCATCATCCATATGTTCATGTATTGATCATTTGATCCGTCTATCCATCCATAGGTCTGATCATCCTTCCATCCATTCATTTGTTCATCCATCCTTCGATTTAATTCATCATCCATCGATCAATCAATCATCCATCCATCTGTCCGTCTGTTGATTCATCCAGCTTGTTTTCTTCCTCGTTTAATCCCATCCATCCATCCATCCATCCACTCACTTTTCTTCAAACCGTTTGTTAATTTGCATCTGGACGAGTCAAGACTTTGAAACGTGATTAAATTAATATCTTCACAATTTAGTGAATGCACTTTAGGTCACAGTACAATCACTTTTCAAAGTAATGCATTAGGTTTTATTTTAAACCAAACTTCAGTTCTGTTCTTGTGTCTAAAAAATAGTTTTAGTGCCAATGTTGTGGCATTAATGCCAATTTGCAACATCTTAAAACAACTGCAATATAAAAAAATGTCACCAGTTTATTCAAAAACCATTTTCTCTATTTTCTGCACGTTTAAACCAACAGTATGTTTGCACAGAGTGACCATACATAAGAATGGTTCTCCATTTAAAAGTTGGGTTGCATAAAGGAACAAGCAGGTCCAACCAGAGAAACTTGTGTTTGAAACACAAACATATATATTTAGTTTGTACACCAACATTACCTTCCTGTCAGACATTCTTGCTGATCAGATATGACTAAGTGATATTTTGCAAATCATGTTTAAATATGATGGTGGTTTAAAGGTTTTTAGAACAGCGTTCACAGGTTGACTTTTTGGGGTCTAAAGTTGTTTTAAGAAGGTGAAATTATTCTGTTTTTGTTGTCCTGCAGTAGCTAATAGCATTTATCTACT